TATTTGGAAAATCGTAAATGTATTACTTAATGAAAAAAATAGACACACAAACAAATTATTATATACAAATTTTCAGTATAATATTATAATTGATGATCCAAATAAAATATTGACTGATAATAATATCATTGTATCAATGAATTTAATCTTTATTTTGCAACAGTTGGAGAAAATATTGCAAGTAGAATAAATGCTCAAAAACCTGATGACACTTTGTTTCCTAAAATGTATACTAACCTTCACTCAATTTTTTTAAAATACATATCCAAAGAAGAAATAAAATTATATATTTCACATTGTAAAGAATGCACTTACTTTTATACGCGTGATCTTAAAAGTTATGTTCTTACAAACATTTCTGAGTTTATACATGTTCCTTTAATAATAATAATATATTTATTTTCCAACTATGGTTTAACATTTAAAATATAAATATACAATTACAATAGTTGGCCACTTCCAACACTTAGAACATATTTTTTGACGCTTCAGAAAATAGAAATGGGTAAGGTGTTTGTAGAACTGGAGCTTGAATAGCTGATTTCAAAAGTATGTCGCATGGTCGTTTTCTAGGATCTCGATTAACAATTTTTTTATTTGGCACTACTGATCCGACAGTAACTTCACTAACAGTTTCAGGAACATTTTGAATAAATTTTGGATTTCTTGCTGCTTTTATACCATATCTATGCTGTTGATCGTTAATTCCAATCTATATAAAATATGTAAATTTGGATAAATGGTTCAACTAAAGCAATGTTAATTTTGTCTACCATATTAAGTCGAATTTTAGAGTAGTCCTGTACAGGAACTTCAAATGGTAATAAATGATACTTTATTGGTGGATGACTATCAATAGAAGCTTCTATCTCAGTAGCTGTTGTAATGGGGGAATTTATATGTTAGTTGTCTTAGATCTATATCTGATTTTCCCAATTCTATGGCACAACTATAATTATGGTTAGAACTAGTTGGGAATTCTTCAATATTATTTATTCTGCAATAAAAAAAAACTGTTATAAATATTGATACAAAATGAAGAAGTATTTATTATATTTTGATTAAAATAACACAAATCAATAATAAAATGTTGAAAAATACATATACCGTAAGAGCGGAATACTTTGCTCCAAATATATTTCTTTTTTAGTTTGAACCTATACTATAGCTTCAATAACAAAGATAAAAATTACCTGTTCGCGTTGTTTTATATATATAGATGTTAAGAGGTAAAAACAATTCAAAAAAATCCGAATGTAGTACTATTGACTTACTTACTTATTCCCAAAAGTTTGGAGCATAGTTAAAATACATTGCAGGTTACATTGCACAATGATTAAAATTACCTTACTTTAATGCATATAATAACTATTGGTGCAATGTTTAGTGCTTGTGTTTTAACTTATTTGAACCTATACTTAATATAATTTAATAATATATATTTTTTTTTTTTTTTAGTTGATTAAAAGTCTTTTTTCAATACATTTTAAATTAAATTTCAATCCCCTAGATTTTGGATAACTTTTCCGTTATGTATTTTTGTGTTTTTGAAAACCATTTTTTACATGATATACATCTTGGAGGAAAACTAATAGATTCATGTCCGTAATGTTTGAAAAAATTAGTAATGTTAATAAGAATAATATAAAAAAAACTACAATCTCTGATCTCAAAATCGTAATGTGCTACGATTGATATCAATAAAAATTTTTTTTGGAGCAATGTTTAACCCCTGGAGTAAAGTATCCCGCTCTTACGGTATACAGATTATATAGACATGTATAGAGTGATATAGACCTTATATTAGATGTAGTATATAAGGCTAGAGTAGTTGGGTAGTGTGGTGACGGAAAACTACCTGTTGTATTATTATAATAACTCAATATAACAAAAATATTGAAATTAAAAACCAGGCAAGCCGCAGTGGCGTCCGCAGGATTTTTCAATGGGGGGGCTTGAAAATTAGTTACATTTTTATTTTGTCCAGTCTAATAATTTTAGACGTTTATTTGGGGTATTTTAAAATTTTTGTAACTTTTCAACTTTCTGGTAGAAAAAATGCTCTGATCATAAGCTACGATGCCCAGTGTATGTTTTTGGAAGAAAATTGGATCTAGTTGGTACTTTTAGGGGGTCGAAATTGAAAATTCTTAGTGCTTTTAAAAATAATTGGAGAAAAAAAATGAAAATTTATTTAAATGATTGGTTATACCGTCTTCACTTAAAACTGTTATAAATATTGATACAAAATGAAGAAGTATTTATTATTTTTTGATTAAAATAACACAAATCAATAACAAAATGTTGAAAAATACATATGATTTTTTTTAAGCATATTTAGTAATTTTTTAGTTCATTAATTTCATTAAAACCACAAATGATATTTTTATGTTACTAATGATGTATACGTATGTTTGTTAGGTAAGATTATATAAATTATCTCTCTAACTGCATAATTTTAACCAAAAATGTTTTGCACTGTTGAAAATAAGAACAAATTATGTGAGTGAATTTACAAAGATATATTTTACCATTATTTATAGGCAACTGCCTACTTTAATTTAGTAGCAGAACTGTAGGAGACCTCTATACCTAATTATTATTGGCTACACAAATAGTTAGGCCATATAACTATCAACTCTCTTATTATTTATTCACCATACAAAATTTTAAATTATACTTACAAAGTGTTATCAACTATAGGTGCATCTTGTGAAAGTGGTTGCGGTTTTGGTGTTGTGAGAGTACGGAGCTTTTTTAGGGCTACGCAAACCACCCACAACTTGAGGGGAACATTCAAGTTGTGACCTACGAGCCGCGCCGCGCGACAAGCCTAGGATTGTTGTGGCGGAACTCGTAGGTTTTAACACCATATGGGGTAATGAAACGCCATTTAAATAATGAAAAACTGAAATTTAAGGTAACAAGAATAATACTAATTTGTATTAAACAATAAACATGACAATAATATAATAAGATGTGGCTCCCGCACACAATACTACAATGGTTGAATAATTTTGACATACATTTTTTAATAATAATTGTTTTGACACATGGCAGTTATAAATGAGAGGGACATGGGGGGGGGGAAATGTTACATTGATACGTTACAGGTCTTGAGCTGTGGTCCTTTTGACAGCGGGACGGCTGGGCTGAGTAGCCACCAACACACACGCGGTTGGCATCAACCGTCTTGCTGTCACAAACGAGAGTTGGCAGTTGACCGGATATCTGGCCACCAGTAGGCCTGTAGAGGATCTTAGCCCATGATTTGTTTGGTACGGCCTCGAGAATAATAAGATTGATGCGAAGTTGACGAGAGTCGGAAGTGGTTGAGTCGAGAGACGTGATTGGCAAAAACGTTATGTCGGCTCAGAGGTCTCGGGAAAAATGCAACGAGACGATGGTCGGTGGTGTCCAGCCGCTGGTTGTAGACGTCGTCTTGTGAGAGTGGGACAGGTCAGTATTGCATGATCAGGGGTATTAACAAATATAATATGGATACAGGTTGCACTGTCGGTACCGCTAATGGCACGTCTTCCTCGAACGACGGGGCCATCCGACCGGCAGCCGTTGTGTTCACAACTGAACCTTTGTGTAGAGAGGGGGGGAAGTAGTATGTGGAGACATAACTTTGCAGATTAGACTGTTCATCGAGCGCGCAATAGTTATGATAATAATAAGGTGGTTTTAATAATAATAATAACAATGATTTATAATAACAATAATGATAATAATTGTGCACGAAAAACTGGTGACGTTACAGAACCCCCCCAACAAGTTATTAAAGTTAAGACCTAGGGTTAAGAACTGCAAATAACTTGTTGTAATATAAAAGGCACTGCGTTTTTTGGTGGACCATAGATAGTTAACATAAGAAATGACTACCGGTAATAATGACCTTACTAGTCCAGGGACAATGATGGTACCAATGTTGAATAAAACACAGTTCCTAACAGGGGAATAGGGGACAGAGGGACTCTAGATCTGTCTATGCCTTTACTGGGGTCACGACAGAAATAGGTACGACTACACTATGGGGACTTAGTGTAGAAGGGAGAAGACAAAAAAATATAAATAAAACTATTGTGTGCAGGCAAGATAACACGGACCTTGCACTGCGTAGATAACTCTGGACATTTTAATTTTACACACATGGCAAGCCATGGTGGGACCTAACATTATTAAGGGGGGCTATCGAGAATGTTCCTGCATGTTGTGGTGAAAGAGCGGTCAAGAGGCGGGGTCTGGTGGCTCCTTTACCCCCTTGCGGGAAGTCACCCTCCAGATCATCGAGCCGCGGGTCAATGGTGGTAAGTGTGGTCCGGGGCCCCCTACTTAAACGCGCACAGGGACAGCTGGTTTTTACGCCAGCCGTATGTGAACGCGTAGGAGACTGACCGCTAGGCACCAATGGCAACCACACTCGGCCGACCAAGCCCGGACCCTCACTGGGACGGAGCGTCACCACAACACCGGTTAAATTAAAAAGAAGAGTGTCGCAGACTCTTTGCCGGCCAGGGAGCAGTATCCCTGTACGACGGGGGCCCTACCGAGCTGGGGGGACAACGAATCTGAAAGAAGAAATATTGAGAGAAAGAAAAAAGGCGGGGTAGTAAGGGGAAAAAGGGGGGGACAACGCGGAAGTAAACGAATTAAATGACCCGGGCCTACTATTGTTGTTCGTACAACTATGTTTGAACGCTGTTGCGTCGACGCGCCAGCTTATACAGAATAATATCTGTGTGGTAGAGGGTGTACTAGTGCACAACCCCCCATTAGGAGTGGAGTCCCGGGTGAATATAAGTCACTCTGAAGGTACTGTTATAACAGAATAGTATAAAACTATTTAAATTTCGAAAATAGAGTTTGATAGATTTTATTTTATTGTAAATAATGATAATTAATTTGAAATTCCCTAGTAACTGTAAGACTATTTTAAACTATGATAGGTATTGAGATAATATTGAACGAGAAAATTATAGACACCCCTGATAAGTTTACTGTGTAGGTGGTATATAGGGTTTTAAATGAATAACATTGTGAGTGCCTTTGGGTGTACCATCATCAGGGTGGGCTACCTCATAGGCATTAGTAGTTTTAATATTTGTAATTTTGAAAGGGCCATCATATAACAGGAAGAATTTAGAAATTTTTTTTTCTACCAAGTTGCTTAACTTGTGAGTGCGAACCAGGACCATATCGCCTACTTTGAATAATGTGGGGTTTAAACGCGTTGCTTGGGCTTTCTTTCTGGCTTCGGCTTTGGATAATTGAATGTCTTGGGCTAATATTAATTTTTTATTGTAATCTAAGGGGGGATCGTTGTAGGGGAACTGTATGCACTGAACGAGGGGATTATATTTAGATTTATTCAGAAATAGCTCCGAGGGAGTTTGATGGGTCGACTCATGTCGTACGTTGTTAAGGGTCCATTCGATATACGGGACATATTGAGGCCATGTAGAATGTTGTTGGTGACAATAGGTGCGGAACATTCTGCCTAACTCTCTCATTACCCGCTCGGCAGGGTTCGACTGAGGGTGATAGACACTGGTGTGGGATACGTTAATATTATATTTCCTCAGAGTAGTTTGCCAGTGCTTACTGACAAACTGGCGACCGTGGTCGGACACAATATTTTTCGGAACACCAAAATTAGGGAAATAGTCGGTAGTTAACTTCTTTATACAGATTTTCGCGTTGGCGCGCCTTAACGGGTACAGTTTAATAAAGCGTGTGAAATTGTCGACTACCACAAAAATATAAGAGAATTGGAAGACACCTACAGGGAGGGGACCATAGAAATCGACGAGTAACTTCTGAAGGGGTTTGGTGGAGAGTATGGACTGCATTGGACCGGCTATTTGGGTGGTTTTCGGTTTGCATTTTTGACATATGTCACATGCTTGCACGATCAACCGAACAGTTTTATTGAAAGATGGGAAATAACAAATATTCCTCAACGCTTGAGCAGTCTTGAGTGGGCCAATGTGGGCATAATAATCATGAAAAAATGTTACAACTTGTTGTACTAAATGGCTAGGTAAGTATATAGACCACTGAGGTTCGCTTTTGTACTTTTGAATGAATAACGTCTCGTTCTTGATAATATAATAGTCGTGCCACACGGGTACCGGATTGGCTTTTAATAGTGACGTTATCTTGACTAGTTTTGGGTCTTTCTGTTGTTCATATGAAATGTTTTTGAAAAGGGTCTCAATATCTGGGGGAATTGGTGGAGGTAAGGTATAGTGTAGTATAACTGGGGTATCTCTCGGGGGTTGCTCATCTCTACCGAGTGGATGGCGTGAGAGAGTATCTATGGGGTTGTCTTTTCCAGCACAATAATAAATTTTCAAATCGAATTCTTGCAAAGCAAGGGTCCACCGTGTGAGGCGACTGTTTTTCAGTTTGCATGAGAATAAAAATGTCAGGGCCTTATGATCTGTATATAAGTTGATGGGATACCCAAGGATATATATTTTAAACTTCTGGCAAGCGAATAAGATACCGAGAAGTTCGAGTTCAGTCACGGTGTAGTTTCTTTCGGCACCACACAGTGACCGACTGGCGAATGAGAGGGTGTTTCTTTGACCATTTTTATCAATTTGGAATAATTCAGCACCAAGTCCGATGTAGGACGTGTCGGTCTGTATACAAAAGGGTATATTGAAGTTGGGATGAGTAAGTGAGATCTGAAGAGAAAAGGCAGTTTTAATTTTTTGGAAATCAATCTTATTTTGTGCTGTAAAAGTCCAGGGGGTATCTTTTTGTATTAAATGAGAAAGAGGGTGTAAAAGTGACGAATGATTTTGAGAGACTTTACGATAAAAATTACAGAACCCGAAGAATGACTGAAGGTCTTTTTTATTGCGAGGTTCAGGAAAGTTTTGGAGAGCTTTGACCTTGTCAGGGTCCATTACCATACCTTGAGGAGATATGAAATGACCTAAGAATTTAATTTGTTGTTTATTGAAATGACATTTTTTAAGTTTGAGAGTTAAACCTGCTAATGATATTTTGTGGAAAATCCACTCTAAGGTAATAATATGGTTTTCAAAAGATGAAGATGATAATAAAATGTCATCAACATAGGTATGAATATCATTTGGGAATGGACATTGTTGAGAATAATTGTTCAGTGCGGCTTCGAGGCCTTTCCCAAACGCAGCATTTGAAATATTTAAACCAAAGGGGACAACACAAAATTGATATGAACGCCCATCATATAAAAAGCTAGTATATTGTCGTACCTCGGGGTCTAACGGGATTTGCCAATAACCAGAGGAAAAATCTAGCGAGGAGAAAAAACATTTATCATTGAACTTTGCTAGTATATCGTCTATGGGAGGGGACGCATCTCGTGTGGGTAATATAATAGTGTTTAGCTTACGTGCATCAAGACATAATCGTATAGAGCCGTCGGTTTTAATAACAGTAACTAACGGGTTGTTATACGGTGAATCTGATCTCTCGATCACCCCCCACTGAATCATTTTATCTATTTCTTTCTGCACAGCAGGACGACGAGAAAACGGGACGGGATACGGTTTTATTTTGTATGGTTCGTGAGGTTTTACATTAAATTTATAAGAGAAAAAGTGATGAAGGCCGGGTCTATCTTGAAATATAGGTTGATATTTTTGTATTAAAGAAGTCATTAAATTTTGTTGATGAGTAGTGAGTGGTATATCATTGAGAGCTATATTATTTTCTGTCGCGAAGGGGAGAGATTCATATACACTATTTGAAGGGTGTTCGTGCATATACGAAGAACCCTCAGAGATATTGACAGTTTTCAACGCATTAACAAAACTGTTGGGATCATGATCTTCAATTAAACCAAAAGGTATTTTGTCCTGGACAGTGATAATAGAGATTTCTTTTTTGTTATAATCTATGGTCACACCATTCTCTAACAACCAGTCAGTTCCTAGGATAAGAGGAGTTGAAAGCTGTGGGACTATGAGAAAGATGCCATGGGTTTCATAATTTTTTATTGAGAAGGTGAGATATATTTGAGTTTTAATTTTAACGGTTTTGTTACTGAGTGCTGTAGTGAGTAGTATATTTGTGAGTGGAAACAGGGGTATCTTGTGTTGTTTGGGATTGATATTTAAAATTTGGAATAGGTCTTCTGAGATTGCCGATACAGATGCACCGGAATCCAGAAGAGCTGTTTGTTCATTATTAAAGAGGCTAATTGTAATTTCGGGACGATAATTTGGGGGGGGAACTACAATTTCCTGATTGAGATCTAATGGATGAGTAAGTATGGATATTTGAGGATTTTGAGTGGGGGACACAGGACACATCCTCACGGGTCTGGTCGGAACTAGTTTTCCGTAGGCGGTGTTACCTGGTCGGGTTGTTGAGACGGAGCTTGATTCGGAGGTTGATGATATTGGGGCCTTTGGTAATTGTTTTGACGAGAAGAGTAATTATTTGGACGAGAAGAGTAATTATTTTGACGAGAAGGGCCTGAAGAGTTGTTGTATGAATTCGGTTGTTGAGAATGAGAATTTGAATTGTTATGATTGTGAGTATTCGGAGTAGTTGAGGGGCCATTTGAACGTTGAAGATATGTCAGTTCTTTGACTAAGTCGTTCGTTGTGAGAATCCTGAGACCTCGGAGAGCAAGTGAGAGATGGTAAGAAAAGTGGGATATAATTTGGTCAACCATTTCCACTTGTTCTATCGGGGGCTGCAGATGTCGGGCACGGTTTATCCAGTCCATGGCATGTTCAGACAGAGTGGAGGGATCTTCATGATGATAGGGACGATACAACTCATTTCGAATCTGCCGTTGAAGGCTGGGAGACCAGAAATAGTCACGGAACAATGTAACAAACTCAGTATATATTAGAGGGGGAGGTAACAGGGTAGTATACCACAATAACGCCTTCCCGGTGAAATTATCACTGACAAAATTAATCTTAACCTGATCAGGGGCGTTGTGTATTAAGAAGTAGTGATCAACTTTGTCCAAAAAGTCTGCAGGGTGTACCGGTGTGAGCTGCCCGTTATATTTCGGTATCCGGTTGGGATCCATGGTGATACTAGAGAGTTGAGAGACATTATTTGCAAGGTTGCTGTTGTTATGGTAAAGGGACTGATTGTCTCGAGAATTATTAATGGCTGAAATAGAGTGTGAGGGAATCATATTAGTAGAGATAGGGGCTTGAGATAAAACTGTTGATGATAGAATATTTGAACGGGAAGCGTGTGAAATAGATATTGGGGGAAGCTGAGAAGCAGCCTGTGTTGTACGTGGGGGTGGGGTTGGAGTTGGAGAAGTGAAAGAGATATTTTTAATTTTATTCTCGACTGCAGCAAGTCGAGCAGACTGGCCTTCCACGAAACAAACACGACCAGTGAGAGATTGGATTTGTGCATTTATCTGTTGTTGAACACTATTAGTATGTTGCATGCTATCCTGGAGTGTGGTATTATGGCAACTACCATTACTAGTTTGGACATCAGCGATATGACTTTGTAGGGTGACAAAATCCTCATGAAACTCATTCTGGACTCGGGTTAACTGCTGGGTGATGCCTATTTCAACCTCCCCTACCCGAATGGATAGTTCCTGGAACTTCTCGTTATACTCACCGAGCCTATGGTTGAGGGATTCAAATTGTTGTTGGAAAACTGTATTGATATCATTGATTTGTTTTTGGAGGGAGTCTACAGTGGGGGATTCTATGTTAATAAGGGGTTGATTTGTATCTCCGTTGGGGGTACCCATAGTAGTATCTAAATTAGGAACAGAGAGAACTGGAGAGTGAACGTAGTTTGATGGATCGAACCTATCAGGTGGGTTTGTGCGGCGTTGACCGGCGCCGTACATGGGACATAGACCAGTTGATAATAAATTAAAGTACACACTAAGAGTGTATAAACGACTTAAGAAAAAAAAATCTTAAATCGGTATGTAATTAAGAAGTATCCAATATAAGAGAATTGAGATTTCTTGGAATAAAAGTAAAAATTAATTTAAGCAAAAAGCTAATAAATAGTATGGTAAAATTCAATAAAAAAACTGTATAAATAAATAAGCTAAGGCTTCTGAATAATAATAATAATTGTTTATGATAATGTAATATAATAATAAGGCCTTAGGTGAACCAAAAGAACCGGTTACTGCTGCCAACATCAGCTCTAACGACCATTGTGTAACGATAACGAATAGTAATGGGAAAACCTACCTAACATTCAGGGAATATAATAATTATAGCAGAGATGATAACAATCCACTTTAATATTTAATCTGAATAAGTAATGCACTGAATAATAATCTATATATATAGGGGGAAAAAAAAAACTTCCTTGCAAGAGACTTATAATAAATAATTTAACGTTGACTATCAGTCTAAATAAATAATAATTTTTTCTTTAAATAATAAAATATAACTCACTAACATAAACATTAAGTTACAGTGACTAGACTTTAAATAATTTAAATAATTCAACATTAATTTTTAATAACAACAATCTTTTAATTAATTAGGCATTACTCATTCGAATAATTAACAATAATATAGCATTCTACCTACCAAGGCAAAGAAAAACAAAAGTCATAAGGAATGTACCGTTAATTTATAATAATTCTAACACTGACATGGGACCTCATGGCACAACATAATATAAAAAGAATAACTGTCCGCAGACCTAAGTTACTACTTAACACAATAATATAATAATCCTCAGATTTACCTAAAAAGGCATAATAATAACTCAAGTTACCCTAAACGGTGTAATGATAATAATATAATTTAACACTTAACACACTAACAATAAATGACTCTTATAGAGCATAAAAATTCAAATTACCTCTAAGGGCATAATAATAATAAAAATTCAAATTACCACATACAGCATAAAAAGAAGAATTTTAACATACCATACAAGGCATAATAATATAATTGATTGACCATGTGGTCCTATGAAAAAGAAAAACATATTTTTATCGCAGCGCACCTATAACAATCTAACCTGACAATGTTATGCAACGGGTTGAACTTGGGGCCTATGGTACCCTACCAGGGAGGGCTTAAAGGGAAACATATGTATTATGCATACCATAGGGAGATGATGATAATTGCAGGGTTCAGCTGTCTCCACACCGTAGCTGCCAGAGCAAACTGCCACCGCTGAACGAAGCCGACGCACCAACCAACAAACACCGACAGGAACAATTTCTGTAAATAATTACTGGATATAAATGTGTTCATGGGTGGGACATAAAAAATATTAATAATAATATGACAATTACCTTGGTAGTATAATACAATTTTCTCCTCAGAGTAAAAAATTTGTTTTTGACAATATATTTTTTTTTGCTTTAAATACCAAGAAGATAATTTAATGTGGCTTTTATTAAGTTAATATAATAATAAGTGATCTCTTGCAAGAGAATAATATTGAAGCTCACATTGTGAATAATAATAAAAATAAAAAAATAGAGATTTTGGGTATAATAATATTTAAGGAATTATGGGAAATAATTTTTTACCCTGCCATGTGTAATGCCACAATTAAAATAATTCACATGTTACACTACTAAACAATGTGCCATAAAAAAAAAATAATAATGAGGTAAATCTCCCCGGAGCCTCCATGTGTGAGAGTACGGAGCTTTTTTAGGGCTACGCAAACCACCCACAACTTGAGGGGAACATTCAAGTTGTGACCTACGAGCCGCGCCGCGCGACAAGCCTAGGATTGTTGTGGCGGAACTCGTAGGTTTTAACACCATATGGGGTAATGAAACGCCATTTAAATAATGAAAAACTGAAATTTAAGGTAACAAGAATAATACTAATTTGTATTAAACAATAAACATGACAATAATATAATAAGATGTGGCTCCCGCACACAATACTACAATGGTTGAATAATTTTGACATACATTTTTTAATAATAATTGTTTTGACACATGGCAGTTATAAATGAGAGGGACATGGGGGGGGGGAAATGTTACATTGATACGTTACAGGTCTTGAGCTGTGGTCCTTTTGACAGCGGGACGGCTGGGCTGAGTAGCCACCAACACACACGCGGTTGGCATCAACCGTCTTGCTGTCACAAACGAGAGTTGGCAGTTGACCGGATATCTGGCCACCAGTAGGCCTGTAGAGGATCTTAGCCCATGATTTGTTTGGTACGGCCTCGAGAATAATAAGATTGATGCGAAGTTGACGAGAGTCGGAAGTGGTTGAGTCGAGAGACGTGATTGGCAAAAACGTTATGTCGGCTCAGAGGTCTCGGGAAAAATGCAACGAGACGATGGTCGGTGGTGTCCAGCCGCTGGTTGTAGACGTCGTCTTGTGAGAGTGGGACAGGTCAGTATTGCATGATCAGGGGTATTAACAAATATAATATGGATACAGGTTGCACTGTCGGTACCGCTAATGGCACGTCTTCCTCGAACGACGGGGCCATCCGACCGGCAGCCGTTGTGTTCACAACTGAACCTTTGTGTAGAGAGGGGGGGAAGTAGTATGTGGAGACATAACTTTGCAGATTAGACTGTTCATCGAGCGCGCAATAGTTATGATAATAATAAGGTGGTTTTAATAATAATAATAACAATGATTTATAATAACAATAATGATAATAATTGTGCACGAAAAACTGGTGACGTTACAGTGTATAACTGTTGTTGTTATGATTACCCTCTAGAATAACAATTTTATAATTTTAATACGTATTTAATAATTATACCTCAGATGATATTGTAAATTACCTGGATATTTATCTGAGTTTTTCTCAGTGCTTTTAAATTTAGGATGTACATTTTTGGATTCAAAAATGTGTGCTCTCTTCTTTTCAAGTTTGTTCTGAAAATACAACATCAACTGTGAATTTATTTTATAGAATAAACCAAAAATATTATAAAAAGTAAAGTAAAATTTAAATTTAAATAAAAAACGAAGAAAATACAAAGGTACCTGTATATACGCAGGATCGATACATAGTTTTCCAAAAACCTAAAATATATAAATACATGTAAATTAATATTATTTTTATTTTAAAATACATTTGATTTTTTACATTAAAACAATGTAATTGCTTATTACTACCTTCTGAAACATATATTTTTTATCATTATCAATCTTGGCATGGCTAAACCGACAATGTTTTCCTGAATAACAATTTTTACCAGTATGATAATGTTTACATGGAAAATCACTATGCATATATGTACACTGATTCTCTCTAGGACAATAACTATTTAAATACAATTTGCAGAGTTTCATATTGTGACCTTTTGGTCTTTGATGAGTATATTCACAATTATCATCCTGTAAAA